TAATAAACTTATTTGAAGATTTTTCAAAACCTGGGTCCTAAGACTGACACATTTCTGTTCTTCCCATTCCACTTTCCATTCAGAGCACCACACAATCCTTCTTCAGCCAAAGGCTGTCATGTAAATAGACACCGGGCATGCCTGCCTTACGTATTCAGTGGACCTGCCCAGACATGTCCAAATTCCAGCTTCTATTTTGCTGGAATCTCCCCAATGAGTATTGGATGGTCCCTGGAGTTTGCCATCCTTAGACCTCAGATATCTTGGCTAGTACCATCAAGATTCCTGTGGCAGAGTTCTTCAGACACTTAAGAACATATTCTCTGGATTAGACCAAATGTAGTCCTGGCAGAGCTGTAATTTGTCATTTTTCTATTTTAAGAATATGCCCAGGGAACCAACTGACAATGTTAGGAGCCAGATATACTCCCACCAAACATCTCTTGTATTCATTCCCCAAGGACTTAGGTCTCTGGCTAAAGAGCAAGTATAAGCTTCTCTTAAGAATTTGGGGTCCTAGGAAGAAGTTAGAGGCAATAGTCACAATCCTAGTGAGGAACAGGGAGCTCTACATTGATTCCAATTCCAAAAAGAGATGTTTTTTCAGCACCAAAAGAAAAAAAAAAAATCAATGGGATAATTTCATGATCATGATACAGCCCATAAGCAATGATGGCAATGAAAGACCAAGGCGCAGGCCAGTCCTTATGGTTTTTTGAGATTGCTATGAGCTTATGGCTCAATGACAGCAGGAAACCAAGGTGTTAAATTACTCAAAAGGCAGCAGTACCTGGAACTCCTAAAGCAAAGTCTTTTGTATGATGGGTGCCCCAGGAGAAGTCATCGAAATGGACTTCAGGCAATTTATTCACTGGGCACGTTAAACCAGGACCTAGTCATTAATATTCCCAAATAAAAACAGTGCTGCTTAAATTGGGGCACCTGGACCAGGAGCATCAGCATGGGAGCTTGTTAGAAACACAAGTTTTTGAGCACTACCCCAGAACCACTGAACCAAATTCACTAGGGGAGGGTCCAAATATCTATGTTTTAACAAGTTCTCCAAGTGATTCTTAATGCATGTTAAAGTTTGAGAAGTATTACCCTGGAAGCTCTAAGTAAGCCCCAGTTACCTGGTGTTCCAAAGGCAGCCAGACTACCTATGCATGAGTCTCTGGCAGAGCTCCAGGAGACCCATGTTCTGCCTCATTTCCTCACCCTGACCTTGCCAGAATTCCCATATATAATTTGACCCTATGCTGCAGGAGTGTACCTGGTAGTAATGAAGGCACTTGGCCGTAGACATTGAGAGGCATATTTTTCCTAACAAAATATTCTCACTCTCTACTATGTTCCCCTTGAGACTTAAGCTAGGCTGACTAGGAGTTGTAGACTTGCCTTCACCATCCCTTCCAATCATATGTATTAGGTGGTATATTTGTCAAGAAGAGACTAGAATTTTGAATGAAGGGTAGTGACATCCTAACCCTGATTTTTCCTTAAATTGACCTTTGGTCCACTTCCCTTCCTTGGCACTTGGCTGCAACTTCCAGGAGTTCTGTGTTATCTCTTAGAGTAGTACTTCAGCCTTATCCATGGGTCAGGAAAAAAAAAAAAAACCTGCTATTCATTTCACACACCTCTTCTAAGAACAGGGAGACCTAAGCAACCAGCTGCACTAGAAATGCAGGTTTGAGGCAATGGTAAGTGAAACCCTCCCAGGGATGCATCCAGATGCAACAACATGCCACAGTCCATAGCCTGAACCAAGAGCAAAAGGGCCTCT